CAGCAGACTAGTTGTAATCCCTTCCCTTTCAGCCATTTCCTTCAGTATTCCTAGGTTCAGTAAGGAACACTGTTTATCACTCCACTTCAATTGGAAAGTTGGCATCACTCAGAATTTTCCCCTTTTAGTGAGCACACCTAATAGGTAGCACACAGGAGTGTAATAGTCAAGAAAGAATGTTAAATTATTTTAAGAAATCCATGTGTATCAAATGCTAAGAGGCAGGCACAATTGGAGGGTAAAAGTTATAAATAAGAAGGGAGATCCCTCATGGGAAGAGGCTGCAGAGGTCAGGGTTCCGGCCAGAGGACTGCTGTAGAGAAGAGGTGCTCCATCCTCTTAGTAGTTGAAGGGATAAGGAAGAGTGCAGAAAACTGAAGGACTTGTTTTCTTCCTGCCTTCGGTTTTCTCTATTCTCTCCCTGGCTGTTGGGGGAGATAAGGTAGAACAATGGGGACTTAGGTTTCAGAACTCTGCTTTAGGTCCAGGAAAGAACACTAATCAAGTAGTCATGAAGAAGATGATAGGCAGAGGCAGGTGGATCTCTGTGAGTTTGAGGCCAGCCTGGTCTACAGAGCCAGTTCGAGGACAGCCAAGGCTACACAACTCTTTTTCAGTGTCCTATACCATTATGGCACGAAAAGTAATCTCCTATGTGGCCTTTAGCCCCCAAAGACAAAATACTAGTTGTCTGCTGCTAAGTAGCAAATCACCGTAGAACTCCGTGGCCTTAAACTTTACCTGGACCTGGCTAATGTGAGAGCGAACTGTGGAGAGTGGAGATAATCGCTGAGAATAATGGAAAATAATTATCCCAGAACTGGAAAATAACCAATCTTTAGTTTGAATAGTGCCTGGAAAACTAGGGTATGGTACTTAAATGTAGCTAGTGTTAAAATGAAGACTCTAAAATTTGAAAAGTAAAGTTGAATGCGAGAAAATGGGAATACACTGAAGCTGCAAAATGGCGACAGGTTTTGTATAGTAAGAGCGCATGGAGAGTGGTGTGAGGGTGGCACTTTCAGGACACGGAGGGGAAATTGCTTCTGTCTTTGAACTTAACACTCATACACTATAAAATGTACTGGGAATATAGTGAAAGCATTCCAGACAGCAAGGTGTTTTGTGTGGCATACTGTTTCTAGGAGTTTATTTAAGAATGTTCTTCAGAAAATCCTATGTAGACTAAGATGTAGGATTGAAGATATAATAGGTCTAACTATGGAGAGCAAGAAAAAAAGAGATCTTCCAGTCACAGCTATGGAGGGTGCCTTGGTGCGGGAGAATTGTCTGTATTTTGTCAATCATGTTTTAAATAAATGCTGATTGGCCAGGCAGGAAGTATAGGCAGGAAAACCAGACAGAAAGTAAAAAGGATGCAATGAGAACAGAATTCTGGGAAGGAGAAAGTTGATTCCTCCCAGTCCTGCACAGACCACCGAGGAAGCAGGATGTGACCTGCCAGCTGAAAAAGGTACTGAGCCATATGGCAAAAATAGATCAGAATAATGGGTTAATATAAGCTACAAGAGCTAATAAGTATCCCGAGCTAATGGGCCAATCAGTTTTATAACTTATGGAGATCTCTGTGTGATTTTCTTTGGGGCGTGCTGGCTGTGGGGTACCAGGTGGGACAGAAACCACAACAAGCAGGCCCCATCCATGTAACAGTGCCTAGAGCTGATCAGGCTGGAAGGGCAATGATATATGCCATTGTTGAGAAGCTAGACAGTAATGAACACTAAAGATGATAAACTCTAGGACGGTGACCAGAAAATCAAAAGAAAACCAAGAGCTGTGTAAGAAAGCAACAATTAAGCAGATAAACCTCATGATACTTAAGTTTTTTGGTGGAGTGTGAGACAAGATGAGGGAGAGGGAAGATGTAGCAGTTCTGTACGAATCAAAGGAATTCTGACATAGAGGCTGGAGAGATGGCTCAGACGTTAAGAGCACTGGCTAATCTTCCATAGGTCTTGAGTTAAATTCCCAGCATCCACATGGTGACTCACAACCATCTATAAGGAGATCTAGTGCTCTCTTTGGGCAAGCAGGCAAACATACAGGCAGAACACTGTGTACATAATAAATAAAAACACAGACGGCTGTGTCTATGCTTTGTATTAAACAGTGCCCATTGTGCACATCCGTTGCAACTCTTCTCTCCACTCATTCATTTCTGTATTGTTTAAGTATTTATATTCTTAGACTGTTATGGCTTTTGTGATCATAAAATATTAATGTTAGGGTGTTTTTAGCAAAAAAAAATATAATTTACCATATAGCCCATCATTGTTTGACCCCCATAAGATTCTTAAATGTAGACATACATGTTCTATATTGTAACCTATTAGAAATGTAGTCACAGATGTATTCAGTGTAAAATTGAGTGAGCTATCATTTTATAAGCCTGTCTTTTTCTCCAACTGTCTTCTGTGATACTCATTTAACTTTAAGACTCTCAAGCAAAGGAACTTTCCTTTACGTATTTAGGTAGAAAGCAAGAGAACAGTTCTTAGCAGCATTAAGTTAATAGATCTTAGTTAAAGGTGATGGACATTTTATATTCAAGAACTTAGAAAGTGTGGCTCTAGAGGTCAGAGAAGTGGTTCTCGTTAGGGACTGATGTGAAGTCTGTTAGGCTGCTGTAAAGTTCTGTATTTAACTGTGTGGTTTTAGTGGTGTACATTGTGCTAAAAATTATCAACATATTTGCTTATGAGTTCAGGAAAAACAGTGAAGTAAAATGGTGTGTACGGTGTATGTGAAGTATAGGAGCATTCAATGTATTGCTTACGGTGTAAATGATAGCCCTTCCACCCATTTGTTTTCTACAGTAGAAGTTGATTTTGAGTTACATGAAATTACACGTGCTCAGGTAGCATATTTATAGATATGAAGTTAAAACTCAAGGCCTTTGCCCAGAGATAATCATTGTTAGTAATTCTTTTCAAAAACTTTGTACCCTAACATTCTTTAATATATAATTTTTAGCAATGTCAGACTATAAATATTATTCTGAGCCTGCTCCTTTTTCACACTTAGCAGTGTAAAAATAGATACCCTTCAGTGTGAGATTACAGACATGTGGTTCTTTTTAATTATCGTGTACTGTACTGTACTATATTTAATACTCATTTTCTTTATCAACTTCCCTAGATAGTTCAGGCTATGTTTAACTTTCTACAAGTGCAAACAATTCTATAGTGGATGTTTTAACACCTGTATTTATGCTTTTTAGGTCATATTATAGAGTAATTCCAGAACTAGAGTCTTATATTAAGTTTTGGTATCTACCTTCAGTCCTAACAGTTATGAGTTATATTGTAAGCATTGGATAGTGTGCCTTTTAAAATGCTTGAGACAGCTGAGGATATAGTACAGTGGTAGAATGATTACCCTGCATGTTGAAGGTCCTGGGTTCAATCGTTAGCAACACGGATGAATGGAAGATAGATAGGTAGGTAGGCAAGTAGGTAGGTAGGTAGATAGATGATAGATAGATATGGATGGATGGATAGATAGATAGATAGATAGATAGATAGATAGATAGATAGATAGATAGATGATTCTCTTCCTTCCTTCTTCTCTCCCCCCCCCTTCTCTTTGTCTTTCACTCACTCACTTGTTGGGCTGTCAAGATGGCTCAGCAGCTAAGGGCACTTGCTGTGAATCTTGAAGATTGATCTTGATTGACCCATTGGTGTAAGGAGAGAATCACCCCTTACTCATATGCTGTGGTATATATGTCCATTTATATACATAAATAATGTAATAAAATCTAAACATATTCTTGGGGACTTGCTAGATAGTAGTGGAATCTTGTTATTTTACTTGGCTTTTCTCTGGATGCTGGAGTTGAGTGTGTTTTCTTAGGTAGTGACTGAGTCTTGTTAATTTTTGAGTTCTTATTTCGTTTGCCTTATTTTTCTTGCCAGAGGTCTTTACGTATGGCATTCTCATGAAAACGTACCTGTTCTCATGCTGTACATGCTGCGGTTACATTCTACTCAGTTTCTTCCTTTTAGGTTTATTTCTCTTGAGTTTAGTTTGTGTCCTAGGAAATTAAAACTTTTCCTTTATGACTCTTTCATTTTGTATTTAAGCGCATCTGCCTAGGAAATCCAGAAGTGTTCTTTATATTCTCTTCTGCTTTACTTACAGTTTTGTATCGTTAATAGTTCACAGGTATATTCTATGATCTAAAAAGATAAATTCTAGCATGCCATTTCCTGAAGCCAAATTGTAAGTTTTCCTTATAAGCTTCTGACTAGCATCCTCCCCTTCCTGTGGTATACTGTCTGACTGGCTGAAAGTTTATACATGGTGGTGTGTTTTTCTTTATGTACAGGGACAATGGGATTTCTGTGATTAAAATCCCACAATGTACAGCAAAACTGTACATTTACAAAAAAAGTGAGGTGTCACAGTGTGTTTGCCTTGGTACTCTAGTTTCAAAATGTGAGTGATAGGTAAGAATATACCTATGAAAAAGCAATGTATACTAATATGTGAAAAATATCAATGACAGAACTCAAAAGCTAATTATAATTAGAAAATATATTGCAAAGTGATTCTTACTTTCCAAACAGGACTTTCCACTAGATGTTGTTGTATAGATGTTTAGGAGTGTCTTTTGTTTAGTAGCAAATATAAGTGTCATTTAATGATGGCTGTGTATTTAAAGTCATTATTGTATAAAAGATAATTATTTTACTTCTACAGAAGTCTGGGGCAGGGCAACAGTGTATAAACTGTATAATTTAAAATATCACATACAGAGGAGAAAAAGATTTCCTAGAAAATTAGACACATATATAGGGAAGCCTAATGTGCTTCTACTTGACTAAGTAGAATATGTTGGAAGTAGGCATGGCATTATGATTAATTAATCTGTTAAATAGTTAAATTAATCTGTTAAATATTATTGAAAAATATTATTTTAATTGTCTTTATCTTCCCTTTCTCCCACCCATGTCCTCTTTTCTCTTTTGCTACAGATCACACATCGGTTGGTGGTTTGGGAGATAGTTTTTATGAATACTTACTGAAAGCATGGCTGATGTCAGATAAGACAGACCATGAGGCAAGAAGGATGTATGATGATGCTGTTGAGGTGATTATTGCTTAAATATTTTCAGATAGTGACCATATTATTGAATATTACATAGTGATGAACAAATTAACTGTTTTATTGTAGGCATTTAGAAAATATATGTAATATACATAAACATGTTCAGTCACCAAAGTTTGTTAGTATTTTAATAGAAAATATTTACTTAAATTCTTATTTGTGACATCTTAATGAAAATTGAAGAGTGTAGTGAGTGTATATATAAAACATTGTTTAATTACAGTTAGTAAAACTACTGACTTTATCCTTACCTGCGAACGTTTCTTCTTTAAAGTGATGGCTTAAGAGATATAGAGATATATCTCTCTATACGGTGAGAGTCTTTGAGTAAAGACTTGTGATGGTGCCCACTTGTGTGGTGTTTCCCTGTGCCAGGCATTGTTCTGATCCACTTACATAGATGACTCCATTTGGTTATTGTCGTCACTTAAGACACAGTGCTCAAGTGCCTTGGTGAGGATCCCAGAGCTGAGAGTCTGGAACTGAGCCTGTCTTCTTCATCACTCTTTATATTGTTTGGTAAATCTATGACAGCTGAAAAGCCTGGAGTTAGTTCTACGAAATTTTACAAAAAAAAAATTATAAGATAGAGAAATTTTAATCATTTTAATAAGTTACTGACTTTCTTATCTATTGGAAATCTGTATATTTTTGATGATTTTAATATAACACAGTCTTTCTGATATAGTGATCTATTTTCAGCATTGTAGTTTTGTAAGTTTCAAGATCAAACCAAAGATCTTTATTACCCATTTTATATCCTTTACTTTGTTGGCAGCTGATTTCCTGACGTTGTTTTGAGTGTGCTCTAGTATGGGGTGAACCGTGATACACAGTGCCTTGTTCACCAGCCCCTCACATTTGATGAGGGGTATGTTAACTAATAAACTGAGTTAAAGTTTAACCAAGAATCTAAATTTAAACATGCGATTTCTAAAATTTTCTTTGGAGCCTTAAATTTGGAAAACTGCAAAATTTTATTTTCTCTGTGAAAATTTAAGCCTAGAAAAGTTGTGATCTAAGAATTTTTTAAACTATTTTAGAATCATAGTGATGTTTGAAAATAGCTCTTAATCAGTTTCCCCAGCTTCTTAAAGAATAGAGAGTAATTTATCAGTGTCTGTACCCAGTACAAATAGCCCAAATATAATAGGTACTGTAGACACTTGAATGAATGTATTTTTGTAAAATTATGACATTTATCACATATTAAATAATTTTTGTTTTTCTTATATTCTTAACCTAAAATGGTTTTTTACCTTTATTTTCATAAGAAAAATTTTTTTTATTATTTTGAATTATCACTTTTAAAATAGTTTATGTTTTATATACTCATTACTTGTAATAGGTATGATTGTTTTGGAAGTTAATCTTAAAATATAAAAATATTTTCCATTACCATATACTATATGTACACAATTTTATGTATTTGTTTTCTCCATCCTATTTTTATTAGTTTTTACATTTAGAATGGGTCCTTACTATTTTTTAAATAATAATTGATCAAATTTCATTTCAAAATATGATCTCATCTATACAATTTTTGCGCTTTGTTATCTTCAGCAATACTCCTGTTAAGAAAGTGTTTTGAACTGTAAAATAACATTGAGTTCATAGAAGAAATAGGGTTGGCTGAGTGTTTTAAGATTGCAATCTGAGTTCTATGTCACTTCTCAGATATTATGTTTAAAATGCTTCCATTCCCATCCTGCTCTTCTCTCTTCTACAGATTCCTGTAATCCTGGTTTCTTCATCTTAGTGTTGTTATAGGTTTTAGATCAAATTTACATTCAGTCTCTTCATTTTTTAAGATAGTGTATTAAATATACATTTTAAAGGCCCTTTGGCATCCAGGCAACTATTGTAATACTAGTGGAAATGTGTAAACGTAATATAATTATCCCTAACTGCCATTCAACGGTTAGCATTTTATGTAAGACATTGTTATATTCTTTAGAGAGAAGAGTGCAATAAAGTCCATCTCAGGCACCCTGAAGGTAGTTAAGGATGCAAAGCCCTGTCTTCACCTGCCCTTCCTTTAGTCCTAGTAAGTTCATAAGCATGTTTGGCTGTCTTATAGCATAGTAAGATTTGTGTTGTAAAGACCAGAGATGACAAAAACAATGTAAACATTATGCAGAAAGTTAAAACTCTCCAAATATGGTGGTATACACTCTTAACCCCAGTTCCCAGGATGAGGCAGAGGCAGGAAGATGTCTATGAGTTTGAGGCTAGCCTATGCTTCATAAGACCCTGTCTCAAAAGCAAGCAAGCAAAAAAAAAAAAAAAAAATTACAGCCAACTCTTTAGGCAATTATTGTGTGTGTTGAAGCTGTGTTAATATCACTTGACTCGTAAAGATGAGAATCTTAGCCTCTCCATCCAAAAGACTGATCTTCTAAATATATACATTTGTGAATATCATGGTTAAAAAATAACAAAAAACCTTGCAGTCTGGTGGTCATCCATATCATTTGATTATCAGCTTCTTATCATTGTCTTTGTCAACCAGATCTAATTATCTAAGAGCACCATCATTTATAATATTATTTATTGAGTATGTGGAACATTATAACAGGCTTTCTGGAACATACAGTGATGAAGGCATAATTCCTACATTTCTGTAAAACACACATTGTCATTACAGAGAATATAAGGTGTATTTTTTCCTGAGCTGGATGTTATTGAACATGTCAGAAAACAGCCTAAAACCAAAATATAAATTAATCCTTGAAGAAGTACATATCTTGTTTCAGAAAGAAAAGCTTGACCCTCTTAGCGGTCTAGGGGAGCAAAGCTCATAAAATTTTCATTATTAAAATGAAATGTGATTGTTATGCTCTACTTTCCTTATATTTAAGTTTAGTGTAAAATATTTCCTTTGCTATCCCCATTATCTGTTTAGTAAAACTGACATTCTAGGAGAGTATCCTGATTTTGAGATTATCTCCCTTTATCCATGACAAAACATCCAAATCAAATGACCTGACTTTGAGAAACCAGTTTTCTAAGGAGTTAAGGGATGTATATATTAAGTTTCAACTAGTTTAGAAAGCTTTCCCATGTGCAAGGTATATTATGCTTTTTAAAATTACTTTGCTAAGTGGCATAGCTACATGAAAAATTAACAATTTTAACTATTTACTAAAACCTTCTTTTATCTTAACTTATTCAATCTTCTGTTCAGTTTTTGTTGTTTGGAATAGAAAATGAATTGATAGAACCTTTCGTATTATAACTTCTTAGGATGATCTCTGTTGAGTAATTATTATGAATCTCATTTACCTCAAGAAGACAAGTATATAAGTAATATCACACAGAAAAGCACTCCAAGGCCATACATATCTCTCCTCTCCTGTTTTGATTACAGTAGTGATTAGGATGTTGTTTCAGGTTTTATACACTTTGATAACTCATTAAAATTTTACTTACAAACTGGGTCTGCAGTTTGTGAAAGTTACTCCTTTATAAAGTATCATAATGCTAAGATTTCCTGTTGGCCAAAAGTCCAGACACTGTCCAGACACTTGAAGTTTGTGTTCTAGTTTTATTTCTGTTGCAGTGACATTATCCTACCAAAAATAACACAGGGAGGAGGAGATTTATTTGACTTATAATCCCATGTTACAGCTTGTTGTTCTGTATGGGCAGGAACCTAAAGTATACTGCCAAGAGCAGAGCGGGCCCTTCCTAACGCCTGTGTGCTTTTGCTCAGCCAGCTCTCTTCTCTCTTCCACAGTCCAGGGCCAGCCCGTGAAAAGGTCCCCCATAGGCATAGATGAGACATGGCCTCAGACCAACCTGGATGATTCCTCACTAAAACTATCCCCTTTGGTGACTCTAGGTTATGTTAAGTTGACAGTTAAAGCTAAGCAGAACAGTCTATGTGTAAATTGTTTATCTTTTTCTCGAAGGCAATAGAAAAACATCTTATCAAGAAATCCCGAGGAGGTCTTGTCTTCATTGGAGAATGGAAGAATGGACACTTGGAAAGGAAGATGGGGCACTTGGCCTGCTTTGCTGGGGGAATGTTTGCACTTGGAGCAGATGGTTCCAGGAAGGACAAAGCTGGCCACTATCTAGAACTAGGGGCAGAAATTGCACGAACATGTCATGAGTCATATGACAGAACTGGTAAGAATATTAATAAGGCTATTTTAATAACTTAGTCTAAAATAACCTCAGTTAAACATGTTTCCAGAAATTAGAAGGAAACTGTAGTATACTTGTACTGTTCACATCAAAATACTGCACACTAAAATAGCAGTTTTTCTCAACTTTTGTTTTAATTCCAGGAATAGGTTTCATTTTTAAAAATTCTGAATTCTTGGGAGATTTTTGTTTTATTCTTTAATATTTAGAAACTAATTGTTATAAGCACAAAAGGTATTTTTCTAATAAAATCCAAAACTGTTAGTTTTTTATCACTGTGCCTATACTCTTAAGAAAATAAAAGGAAGCTGGATGGTGGTAGTGCACGCCTTTAATCCCAGCACTCAGGAGGCAGAGGCAGGCAGATCTCTGTGAGTTCAAGACTAGCCTGGCCTACAAGAGCTAGTTCCTGGACAGGCTCCAAAGCTACAGAGAAACCCTGTCTCGGGGGAAAAAATTAAATAGAAAATAAAAGGAACAAAATAGATTCCTCATCACCTCCAAAGTCCAGTTGTTGTTTGACTGTCAGACAGTTTGTCTTGGTTCACTAGTAATATTTATGTTTGCTTATGAAAATCTTCCGGCATTGCTTTGGGAAAATATATAATATCTTTTGATCTTCTATGTTTTAGAGGTCAAGACGGTCTTTATTGTTGACAAAAATTGGTTCAAAACACAGCTACTGTATACATTCACGGATGGCTGTTCACTATGTAGAAGGCTTCTTATGGGTACAGTAGTGAAAGGAGGGGGCTGCAGAGCACTGGGTGAGACTTGCAGTTAGTTTGGCTTTCCAAACATGTTTTTCCTTTTTTGTTTTTTGTTTTTCTGAGACAGGGTTTTTCTGTAGCTTTGGAGCCAGTCCTGGAACTAGCTCTTATAGACCAGGCTGGCCTTGAACTCACAGAAATCCGCTTGCCTCCGCCTCCGGAATGGTTATAAACATGTTTTCCTATGTGAAATAATTAGTGACCTGGAACCCTACAAACTTGTAATACCTCTTTGTTGTTTTAGAAGTTGAATCGTTGCTTTTCTATAGCAAATGAATTTCTGTTTCAGAGTTAATTTGTCATTAAGTATCATGACACAGATATTGTAGGCTTGAATTTTGTCCTTGTTCATAAGTCTGTTGAGTTATTTTTATATAGTAAGGGGTGGAATTTAAGGTGAAATTGACCTTTTAATTCTCTAATTATCCAAATAAGTGGTTTTACTTTTTTTTTTAAAAAAAAATGTAGCTCGAAAGAATATTAACATGTTATTCCAATGTAGTTTAATGTTAGTATTAAGACAGTTAGTGACCTGATTTACAAATTAAATTATCACAGTGATAGTATGGAGTGTGAGTTATACACTTAAAATGTAGTTAACACTGAGTAAAGTTCTGTTGTGCATCTGTGCCACATTTTATTTCCCTTTCAGCTGTTGGTGGACATCTCAGCGAGTTCCAGTTCCCTGTGGTTGTGAGAGAACAGCAGTGAACATGGATGTATAAATATCCTGTAGTACGATGTAGAATCCTTCTGGTATACCAGGAGGGCTAGAGCTGGCTCATACAGTTGTTCTGCTTTTAATTTTTTGAGGAACCACCTGTTGGTTAGTGGTTAGTTTTAATTATCAGTTTGACACAATCTAGAATCACCTGGAGAGAAAGCCTCAATGAAGACTTGTCTAGATTAGATTATCTTGACCCATTCTAAAAGTTGGAAGCACCGTTTCCTGGGTTTGAACCCTGGATTATATAAAAGAAGAAAACAGGCTGGATGCATGCATACGTGTACCACGAATTCTGATTGGTCTTAATGTTAAAAGCCCAGGTCAGAAATTAGGGGATGAAAGCTGAGAGATTAGAGAAGCAGAACGGCCAGCCACTACTAGAGTTCTTACCTTTACCGATGCTTAGACCAAAAGGGCGATCCTGTCCTCAGACTGCCCTCTGACCAACTGCCTAGACAGCAGCCTCAGACTGCTGCCTCAGACTGCACTGAGCTGTTTCTTCCCGCCTTACATTCCTCTCTCTGCCCAGCCACTTCACTCCTGTCTCCACCTCCCTACTGCTGGGATTAAAGATGTGGGATCCTCAGTGCTGGGATTGCCTTTGTGTTTCTTTTCTGTTTCTTCTTTAGACTGGATCAATTTCGTGTAGCCCAGGTGGCCTTGAACTAACAGAGATCCATCTGTGCCAGAGTACTGCCTGACCTCTAGTGGCTTAACTCTGCACTCTGATCTTCAGGCAAGCTTCATTTGTTAAAACACAAACAAAATATCACCACAAATACATACTTTGTTGTTGTACTCTAGTTCTAACTGGATGTCATGTGACTGACTGCTCTTGGTTCCTATGCCTTGACTTCCCCACTGTGGTGTACTGTGACATGAAATTCTGAGCGCAAAATAACCTTTTCTTATATTGTATTTGTTAGAGTGTTTGATCATAGCAACAGGGAGTGAAACAAAGGCAGCTCCATACTGATTTCCATAGTGACTTTGCTAGTTTAGACTCCCACCAGCAGTATTAAGGGCTTAAGGGTTCCTCTTCCCCATAACCTCTTCCTTCCTTCCTTCCTTCCTTCCTTCCTTCCTTCCTTCCTCCCTTCCTCCCTCCCTCCCTCCCTCCCTCCCCTTCTTGTTTATTTTTGAGATTGACATTTAATTACATTTAACCCTTCCCTTTCCTCCCTCCAGACCCTCCATATGTGTCCCTCCCAACTCGCCTTCAAATTCATGGCCTCTTTTTTTTAATCAATTGTTAATTCATACACATATGTATATTATACATATATATTCCTAAATATAACTTGTTCAGTCAATATAATGTTACTTGTTTATGTGTTTTTAGGGCTGACTGGCACTGGACATCCAGATGGTGTACCATCCCTAGGGAGGGCCACCTCTCCTGCTCCCAGCTTTACTCTTTTGCCTATAGTTTTTTGTGCAGGGTTGAGACCTCACAGGCTTTTCCCCATCCAGTTTGTCATGTTTATTTGTGTCAGACTTGTTCAGCTCTCGCTTGGGCAGTCATGTTGATGTGACTTTACAGGTGTAGCTTCTGATGCTACTAGGAGACACAATCTAACAGCTCCCCAATCCTCTAGCTCTTATAGACTTCTGCCTCCTCTTTTTCAGTGAGCCCTAGATATGAGAGTACTTTGTAGATGTATCCATTGGGACTGGGCTCCATGACTGCATTTTGGTTGGCTGTGGTTTTCTGTAGTGGTTTCTGTGCAAAGAGAGGTTTCCTTGATGAGGGGTGAAGACTACATTTACCTGTGCGTATAAGGACAGATGTTTACAGATTGTTGTTAGGGATTATACTGGTTTAGTAAATTAGTGGTTGTAGATTCTCCTCCAGTAACCATGATTTCAGTAGCACCTAGTGGTTTGCTAGGTTTCCAGTACAAGAAGGCATGGTACCCTTCTTGTTGAGTGGAGCTTAAGTCCAATTGGAGAGCATGTATTATGACCAGGGTATTTGTGCTTTTCCTCACCTGTAGTGTTACTGTGCCATGCTGGTTGTGTTTTCTTAATCATAACTATTCTGGCTAGGGTGAGACAGAGTCCCAAAGTGATGTCCTTAATTTCCATTTCCTAATGGCCAAAAAAATAATATTTGGCCATGTGTGTGCTTTCTTTTGAGATGTGTCTGCTCATTTTATTAGCCCATTTATCAATTATCAGTTTTATGGTTTGGGCTTTGTAGTTCTTTATATATGCTAGTTGTCAACCTCCTAGCTGAGGTATTACTGGCAGAGATTTTTCTCCCATTCTGTTTGCTCTACTGATAGTTTGCCTTGCTGTGCAGAAACTTCTTAGTTTCATGTAGTCCGGTTTGTTTCCTCTTGGGACTATCTCCTGTACTATTGGATTCCTGTTCAGAAAGTTCTTGTTTCTGTACTTGAAACTTCACATATATTCCCTGCTTTTCCACCAGCAATTTCAGGGGTTCTGGTTTGGAATTAACCCCTTTGGTGTTCTGGGATGAGTGAAAACTGGGCTAAAGTTTATTTTTCTCTGGGTAGACATTCAGTTTTGCCAGCAGTGTTTGCTGTAATTTTCTGGAAAATGGGTGGGTCTGGAAAGTAAGGTGACCCAGTCTCAGAAATATGAAAATCACATATTTTTGCTCATATGCAGATATAACTTTTAATGTTTGCATGTATGTAAGTAAGGGGTTGTGAGAGTGGGGAGAGATTAGGAAACTAGGTAGACAGGAGGGGAACAGGTGGTGTTGAGGGGTGGGTCATGTGACATTTGTGACATGAATGTGGGAGGGAGGGTACAAGGCAGGGAATATGAAAGAGGGTGGAATAGGGAAAAATGTGGGAGAGAAACAACAAATTTTGTTTGAAAACACCATAATGGAACCCAGTTTTTTTGTAAGCTAATAAAAATGTAAAAGGTGAAACTTTAAATATTAGTGAGACATTGAGGACTACCATAGATATTTGCCAATGGGCAGTTGAGCTTTTGTATGAAGACTTTGACTACAAATGGTTAGGTCTAAACACCAAATTTATAGTAGCAAGTATACTAAGAATAAGGCATGTCATAGTTACTGAAACTACTTATTCCCTTAAGCAGGGGCACCTTATATGCAGACTGCTATGCTAGATGTGTGCAGGTTAAATAGAGTCACGGCTCTGCCTTTGAGACACCCATGGAATTCCAGAGGACTGGCAAGAACCTTTGTATTCCTAACAGTTGTGTTTCTGATAGCACTGTTGTGCAGACTCATATTTTGAGTATCAGTTGTATTTAGCAAGTTGAACCTGTGGCCCTCTTTGTCATGGTATCCCTAGAAGCTCACTGTTGATTTGTGCCTTGTACTTTTAAGTCTTTCACTGGTTTTAATTATCTTTGTTGTCAGCTTAGATCCTTGGATTAGAAAGTACAATCCTAGTTTTCATATATTTCAAGCTGGCTCGTTATTCTATACTCTACTGCATTTTCTTATGGCTCTAAGTTTCATTTAAAAATTTCATCTCAATGCTTATGGTGTTGGACTTTTAAAAAATAGTTTTGTTTATTTATTCTTATCAGAGTTTCATTATGTACCAAGAATGGCCTTGAATTCAGAGTCTGTTCCATATAGTACTAGAAATTACTAGCAAGAATAGTCAGACAAGAAAAAGAAATGAAAGGCATTCAGATCAGACAGGAAGAAGAAAAATCATCCTGATTTCCACATGGGGTGATATGTAGGTAGGAAATCCTAATGAAAACTGCACACACACACACACACAAAACCCTGCTAGAATGACTTAATCCAGTGCAGTGATAGGACACAAGGCAATGTACAAAAATCAGTTTTATTCTTTATGCTAATCACAGTCTGTTGGAGGGAGCAATCAGGAAAAGAACCCTCTTTATGATACTGTAAAATGATAAAATAATTGGAGCTGGGGAGAGAGAGCTTTATTGTCCAGCCTTGAGGATCAGAGTTTCTAGCGCCCACTTAAAAGCCAGACCTGGGCCTGGGTGTTTCTTTAACCCCAAGACTGACAAGTGGAGAGAGAAGGATGGCTGGGGCCTGGTGAATGCAAGCCTTGCTGAAACACTGCAAAGTCTAGATTCAGCAAGAGTCTACTTCAAAGGAACTCAACAAGGAGTGATGGAAGGGGTTGCTTAATGCCTTCCTCTCCTTGCCTTCCACGTGCAATGTCTGCACACTCACACCTGTGTGCATACTCCTCCATGCCCCCCCACAATAATAACAATACTTTATGAATTGATTTAACCAAAGAGAAAAATTGTATGCTGAAAATTACAAAATATTGATGAAATGACTGAAGACACAAGGGACAGGTGGCATCTGTGTTCATGGATTGCATTTGTTTCTAGGCTACTGCTTAGCTCTTGATAGAGTCAGAGATGCATATTGCACTGAGAGATACTTCGTGCCAGAGCATACAAATATTTATAATTCTGTTAGAAGGAAAATGTGGTTCTTTTGAAACCAGTTCTTTTGAAACCACTTTTGTAAAACAGTTACAATAAAAATAACCAAAGTTACTTTAGGACTAGGGTGTAGCTCAGCCTAATATATGAGAGACTCTGGGTGCTGTGAGATAATGCTTTTGTACGAGGTAAAGATTTGTCACTCATATTAGTTTAATAAAATGCTGATTGACCAATAGCCAGGCAAGAAGTATAGGTGTGACTACTAGACGAGGATAATTTTGGGAAGAGGAAAGGCTCAGTTTGCAGTCACTACCCAGATGCAGAGGAAGTAAGATGAAAATGCTACATTGAGGAAAGGTACTAAGCCACATGGCTAAACATAGATAAGAATTATGGGTTAGTTTAGGGTTTAAGAGCTAGTTAATAATAAGCCTGAGTTAAAAGGCCAAACAGTTTATAAGTAATATAAATCTCTGTGTGTTTCTTTAGTACTGAATGGCTGCTGGACCAGGCTGATGGACAAATGTCCATCTATATCTGTGTTTTTAATACCAAATAAATAAATAAAAATTAAAACAGTAGGAAGCAAAAAAACCCACAAAAGATAAAGATTACTTCATACTTCTTCCTTTTAGAGAGAACAGTGGGTATTCTTTAAAACACACACATTATGTCACCTTTTTTTTTTTTTTTTTTTGACACATCACAGCGTTAAAACTAGGTCCTGAGTCCTTCAAGTTTGATGGTGCAGTGGAAGCTGTGGCTGTGCGGCAAGCTGAGAAGTATTACATCCTCCGTCCAGAAGTAATTGAAACCTATTGGTATCTGTGGCGTTTCACCCACGACCCAAGATACAGGCAGTGGGGCTGGGAAGCAGCACTGGTAAGTACACTCACTTCTCCTGTTGTCTCAGCTGATTGGACAGGGCTGCCCCTGTCCCATGTTATCCTCATCCCGGTTACTTGGTTTCAAGAAATGTACGTTTTCCTTTCTCTGGGGAAGAAACTGTTCTCAGTTTGTTTGTTGAGCAGTTCAAACGAGCCTTAGACTCCTGTCCGCTCTCTATCAGTATTTTCATAGCTGCATGCACTCACTATTCTAGTAAGCAACTGCCAGGTGTATTTAAAAGGCAGTTTTCCCAATGCTGTTACAGAATAAGCATATTATTTTTATTATATCTTTTTAATGTTTAACCACTGAGGAAAAAAGCATTGTCATATTAACCCAGATTCATAGCCTGGGAAGATGATTCTTTTTCATTTTACCTTGTATTCTAATAATTCCTGTGTGGACCAGTAAATTGTTTTTAGAAATAGGTTAAAAGACAAAATGTGGCATACACACATAGAAGGAGAGAGAGAGAGACAAAGCATTCGGAAGCAGGAATTTGTTAGGGTTAGTAGTAAAGGAAGCAGTCCATTTACTCTTCAGTAGTCAACATTCACATTGAGTGTGGTAGTACCTGCTTTTATAATCCTAACCTTTAGAAGGCTAAGGTAGGAGCTGTCATAAGTATGAAACTAGAGTAGGCTGCTAAGTGAGCCCAAAGCTTGCCTGGGCCTAAAATGTTCTGATATGACGATGAGCTAGTCTTTAAAACAAACAAAAACATTTATTTACTATTTGTATATATCCCATGAGTGTGCATTCCTCTGGAGGGCAGAAGAGGTGGCAGATCCCCTGGAACTGGAATTACATGTGATTCTGGGCCCTCTGATGTAGGTGCTGGAAACAAAATAAAACAAAACAAAACAAAAAACAAAAACAAAGAAGAAGAAAAGAAAAAAGGGAAAGAACTTGGTTAAGCACTTTTCGTTGTTAGCTAGCTTTCTGGTAGAAGAGAAGGCCAGGAGAGTAGGGCAGGCAGCAAGAGCAGGAAGACGCCTCAGCAGCAGTGGTGAGTGAAGTACTGCGCCTTCATTGCACAGTGCTCGGTGTTAGACAGAGGAGCCGAAGAAAGAGCCTCGAGTGCTTTCGGCTTTTCCTGAACAGTCCAGCTCTGAAGTGTGCCATCTGCACCAGCAAGATATTCGGTGGCTTTGACTTAAAAGTAGAGTTGTAAGTAGATTGTTTTTTATTTAATTCATTTGATTTATGCATGTTCAAGGACACACGAAAAAATATACAATAAGTATTTTAAATTCTAGTCAAGTATTAGAACACAGTAGTTAAGAGAGAACAAATTGCTCAGCTCAATTTCTCCATCTGAAAAGTAGAGCTGTTAACCTAGGATTATGAAATTTAAATGCCAGAGCATATGAAGCTCTTCCAATGGCCGTCAGCAGATTGTTAACTCCTAAATAGTAGCCATTATTGTCTAGGCTTGTAGGTGTGCATTTCCTGCTACTTCTCACCACCTATGGCGCCTAACTAATTAGACTTGGGGATACAGTGTCTCAGAATAGAGTATGGTTACAATAAATATCTCCTGTTACTGCTATTGTTGAAAGCTCCTAAATTTTTAGGATATTTGAATTAGTATTTGTTCTTGGAAGTGGTCATTGAAATTTATTGTGTGTGTGTGTGTGTGTGTGTGTACTTATGCATGTGTATGTGGAGTTCGGAGAGCTGAATTCAGGTCCTCACTTTCCAGGACAAGTGCTTTATTAGCCATTTCCTCTACCCCTGATTACAAGCTAGCTTCTATCTTTGTGCCAGACAACTCCCTAATTCAGAAAGAATAGGTCAAATTTGACATTTAAGTCAGGAAAACATAAGCTTATTGTAGAGAGATTATAGTATTAGAGAGGGAAAGACATCCCAGTGCAAGTTTGTTTTTCCAGTATGAGAATATTTCTATTCAATAACACTATGCTTAGACTTAATATATTATCAGTTTGATCAATTTTCTTACAGATTTATATGAGCGTTTGTTTTTCTTTTTGATAGAGACAGGGTCTCACTATATAGCCCTGACTGTCCTAGAACTCACTTTGTAGAAGACCAGGCTGGCTTCGAACTCACAGAGGTTCATCTGTCTACTTCCCAGCAAGGCCATTATGCCTATCCTTTCTATGAACTTTTGAATGCAGTCTTTCAGTTTGTCCTTCAGAATTGAATTTCACAGAATTAATTGTCCTCTCTGCTTCCTTCACAGGCTATTGAAAAGTATTGCCGAGTCAGTGGTGGCTTTTCCGGAGTCAAGGATGTATACTCCCTCACTCCGACGCACGATGACGTACAGCAGAGCTTCTTTCTTGCTGAGACATTAAAGTAAGCATATATACGCAGAAGTGTTTTTAAGTAAGATATAAGAAGATAAAAACTGTTTCTATTACTATAATGTTGCTATTCAGGAATATATTGGGTAATGTTGAAATCAAATTAATCATATCATTCAACTCAAATAATTAGTTCTTTATGGTGACAACTTTTAAAGTCCTGTCTTTCTGAAATGTAGTGTTCTCTGTAATCATGCTTTAGCAGTAGCACACCAGAACCACTTCATCCCCATGTGACTGTAACGTAGTACTCACTGGTCCTCTGCCCCTTCCTCTTCCTCTCTAGGCTCTGGTTGCTACTGTTATCCCCCTATTTGGTCCCCCTTCTTACATTTCACATATGAACGAGATCATACAGTTACTTGTTTTTCTGTGCCTGGCATCTTTCCCTGGACATAATAATTTTTAGATCCACCCAGGCTGATAGAAATGACAAATTTTCATCATTTTTAATGGATGAATAATATTCCACTGTAGATATATGCCACATATTTATCTGTTCATTAATGCTTTTGTAGAGTAGTGTTGCTGTATAATTGCTAAATAATCAAATTGTGACTATATGTTACATGTAGTTTTTATGTAGTTGGGTTGGTAAATATTAAGCCCTATCTCTAAGAATGACTATAAGGTATTTTATAGCTATTTCATCAAATAAATGATCTCTTCTGGTGGTGCAGATCTCTAATCCTAAAACTCTAGAGATAAGATGTAACAGGCTTTTTCTTTTGAGCTACCAACCAGCTCATGACTTCTTATTAGTTATGAATACTCAGCCTAGCTTAGGCTTTTTTCTGGCTAGCTCTCTTTAACTTAAACTAACCTGTTTCTCTCCATCTACCTTCTGCCTCTGGGCTTTTCAGCTTTCTTTCCTTCTATATATCATGCTTTCACTGCTTCTCACATCTGGCTGGTGGCTGCCTGGAATCTGACTCTAGCCATGCCCCTCTTTTTCCCTCCTTCTCTCCTTCTCTCTTCTCTCCTTTCTCCTACTTATTCTCTCTGCCCACCAGCCTGTCTATCCTCCCTCTCCTGCCTAGCAATTGTCCATTCAGCTTTTTATTGGACCAATCAGGTACCTTAGGCATGCAAGGTGAAACAAATGCAGCACATTTTTACAGAATTAAACAAATGCAGTACAAACAAATATAACACATCTTAACATTGTTATTAACAAAGGCAGCAAAAACAAATGTAACTCATCTTTGCCTACTTAAATTAATATTCTACAATAAGAAGACCTGAGCATTGCCAACCCTGGGCCATCCTGAGCTATATACGCATGTACATATATAGCAAGACTCTGGCTCAAAAAATAATAATAATAAATCAGAGGATGGGGTGGTTAGTATCTTTATGTAAGATATTGTGTTCCTGCCCTTTTATGTACTTTATAATCACTTAGAAAACTTCTTAAAGCATAGATACAATGGTCTATAACTACAAAGTTTTTGTAGGCTGAGGTAGAGCTGGGTCTCCTTTGGACCCAGCTGAGTTCAGAATACATCTCTTAGGAATGATCACATATGTTCAAATGGTACTAAATGATAATGTAGCTATCATCAACCATTCTTCCCATAAGGTTTTATATAAAGATACATGTAAACAAAAAAAAGACAGTTTGGAGCTTATACTCAAAAGCCCAGGTGGAGTTCTGTAAATAGGCCTGGCGTGGGGGTAGGGGGTTATTAATTACATATGTATGCTTTCTTAAAGGCATGCAAAACAATTATGTCTTTATATCACCAGTAGCTAAATTTCATGTTTATGTTTCTTGTATATTACACATAGATGACTTAAAAACACGTCATTTGCCTAGCACATGTTTACTGCCCATTACCACTCAGCCACTGGGAATGCACAAAGGACATGTGTCCTGCTGTACTCTGATGTAAATAGGGTTCACTTACGTCTGGTATGTTAGAGCGGAACAGTAGGTTATCATATTCATCCATATTGAATTTTTCTTTTATGAATACTAGTCTTAATGTTTTCCAATGTTTTTTAGTCTCTAAATTAGTGCTGTTTCTGCTTTTCCTTTTAATACATCAGTATGCTGTGTGCTTCTCTTTCCTTGTTGCTTCATTCTACTCCTTTCCATGTCTTCGTTATTCCAGATAGCTCAGAACATCTGCCCTCGCCATGAGTTTCCCACCTCTGGGTCTTCCTTGTGTCTGCGTGTCCTGTGTACTTAGGCCTGCATCTGTATCAAATAGTTGTAAGAGCACTGAACCTTAAGACAGAGTGACAGCTTTAGTTATTCAGTGCTGTATCCTAGCTAAATGAACATTCACAATAAATTTTTGTGCTTTACATGTAAAGCTGTGGAATTTGACACGGGTTGTGGTAGAGCTTCCCTTTCTCTTCCTATCTCCTACGTGACACACACACACACACACACACACACACACACACACACTACTGGGTATCAAACCCAGAGCCTTGTTAGCACAGGTTTGGCAAACATTTGTCTTCTGATCTATATCCTAAGTCCTTTGCCCTTTGTTTCTCTTGCTACCTCTCATCAAAGCCGTCTAGGTTTGCCTTTCCGTATACACATGCATACACGTAGTTTTCCTCATTTAAAAACAACACTGTTCTCTGGATAATTTGAGGGTTAGTTACCAGCATTTGGTATTTCAGCATGGCTTTCAAGAATGGATGGATCTGGATATGAGGGAGGTGGGGAGGAGCTGGTAGGAGTGGAGGGAGGGGAAACTGTAATTAGAGTATATTATGTGATGGGAATTTTTTTCAATAAAAATGAAAAAATATTTAAGAAGAAAAGGGTATTCTACATGGTCACAATTCAGTTTTCATATTTAGAAGATTTAACAGTCATACACTTCTATGGTATGACATATATTCCATCTAAACTTTTCTTCTATTATTTCAAAATATATTTCAGGTTTTTTAAAATACCAGTTTAAGATACAGTTTTACTGTATTTAGTTCTCATTTCTTTCTCTTTTTGTTTTGTTTGTTTCTAGAGACCGGGTTTTTCTATAGCTTTGGAACCTGTCCTGGAACTTGTTCTGTAGACCAGGCTGGTCTTGAACTCATAGAGATCCACCTGCCTCTGCCTCTGCCTCCTGAGCACTGGGATTAAGGGCATATGCCACAACCACCACTGGGCTAGTTTCCATATCTCTTTAGTCACCTTTAATGTGTGTGTGTGTGTGTGTGTGTGTTCCAACAGATTTTAGTCTTTTTCAAAATTAACACTTTTTTAAGTATTTGGATTAGTTTCTATAAAGATTATTCCTCAATTATATTCCAGATTGTTTTCTAATTGTTGGGTTTCACTTAAGTATCTTTTTGATTAATATTATAAATGATGTTTGTTCCTCATCCTGCTCTGTAAAGAGGCCATGATAGCAATTCAGTTATCATTGGTGCTTTGGGGTTAGCACATAGGTTAGGTTGGTCCTAAGATGGTATAATAATAAGCTGTCTGAGGAGAGATCTTTTTGCAGCAGTCTTTCTAGGCTTATCAGCATCCTTTGCCTGAATCAGATGTGACAATAGAGACAATAGAAGATGCTAGTCGTAGTTTCCTTTATGCTTCTCAGAAGCTAGGGGAATGCAAACTTTTGCAACCACTTTGGAAATCAGTGTGGCAGTTTCTCAGGAAGCTGGGGGTCAACCTACCTCAGAATCCAGCAATTCCACTCTTGGGAATATACCCAAGAGTTGCCCAATCATATTACAAAAGCATTTGTTCTATGTTCATAGCAGCACTATTTGTAATAGCCAGAACCTGGAAACAACCTAGGTGTCCCTCAATAGAAGAATGGATAAAGAAGGTGTGGCACATATACACATTAGAATTCTACTCAGCTGTAAAAACAATGACATCTTGAATTTTGCATGTAAATGGATGGAAATAGAAAACACTTTACTGAGTGAGATAACCCAGACCCAAAAAGTTGAGTATGGTATGTACTCACTCATTAGTGGATTCAAGCCATAAACAAAGGACATTGAGCCTATAGTTCACTATCCTAGAGAAGCTAAATAAGAAGGTGAACCCAAAGAAAAACGTATATTTATCCTCCTGGATATTGGAAGTAGACAAGATCGCTGGGCAAAAGTTGGGAGCATGGGGGTTGGGGTGGGAGGAAGAGGAGATGGGAGAGAGAAGGGAGAAGGGGAGTATTGAGGGGAGTTTGGGGGAATGGGATGGTTGAGATGGAGGAAGGGTGGATATGGGAGCAGGGAAGAAGATAACAGTTAGTGTTTTAACTACTACAGGTGGCATCTGATTGACATGGCAGTGACATAGTGAATTAAGGGCCATTTTACCTTTCGTATTTCCCCATGGAAGCTGTCCTGTGAATTAAGTTGTGATGGCTTTTTTCCCTGAAAATTCAAAGGACTCTATGCTGTTTTGTTTTCTTCAGTAGTTCTACGTTATTTATTATGTGTGTTGATGGTTTAACAGAAGACTGTATAACCATCAGTATTATCAGTTAAAGTCAGTAGAAGATCCTTTAACACTTCTTTTCTTAAAATTCTCATACTCTATGAATATAAAATACATTCAGTATGTCAATAAACCCCATATATATTAATTTTAAGAGAGCCATTAACAAAATATAGTCTTTTGGAGGAAAAATAGTTGTTTAACTTGAAAACCATGAAGGAGCTGTAATGGAAGTGGGGTATTTTAACTAGAGTTGATGCTGAAATCAGATGAATTGGTGTTTGGGATCAGCCATGAAATTGTACATGGAGGTTTCTCTCCCACCTGGTGGCAGTGGGCAGCAGGCCATGAGACCATGCTGCAGGTCCCCGAGAAAACCAGACAGAAAGTAAAAAGGATGCAATGAGAACAGAATTCTGGGAAGAAGAAAGTTGACTCCTCCCAGTCCTGCACAGACCACCAGGAAGCCGCTGCTACAGCTGAATCAGGAAAATCTCTCTTAAAGGAGCTATGGCACACCACCAGTAAACAGTAAAAGCTGTGTTAAACTCTTTTTTTCTAGAATT